TGTAGCAAGATATTAGGTGGGAAGGGGTTTCCATATTAGGAACAATAATTGAACTAATACAGTCCGACCGGCTTGCTCAATAGTGACACACTTTTAAAAAGAAATTATTAAGTAACTTTCTTTAGTGCTCGACATTCATAGACACTCCTTTATAGAATGCCAGAGACGCCAACACAAAGAGCTGGCCCAGAGATGGAGAATACGGGGGATGCACAACATGGTTACTTACAGTCCCTGTTTCTTTTTCTATGTGCCCAAGATAGATCCCAGAGGTGGTTCAATGGAGATTCTTGGACTCCAAGCGCGACTGGTACGCTTATGGGTGGCTGCCATGTTTGCTTGGTTGGTATCATGTTCGGCCATGGTATGGATGTCCCTGGCGCGAATCTTCTAACAAAGTTTTCTTGAACTTGCATGTTTTTTAATAAGGGGGGAGGGTTTTCAAGGTTCTCCGCCTTCTTTGCTCGGTCCTATCAGACATGGGCGAAGCTCCCGCTGTTTAGAATTTTTTCCGTAGAACGATGGAAAATAATATGTTTACCTTTGTGAATATAATTTACATCTTAATCGGTCTGTTGGCGTACATACAGTGTATCAAGAATACACATTTCCTTTTGGGTACGCTCCCTTTTCCGATTCACTTTTCTTTAGAAGTACGATACCGTAAATGCACCGTGTGTTAGTATCGTGTTCGGCTATGGTATAGATGTATCATCTTTCTACAAATTAGGATCAAATTATGACTTTTGCCGTATTATAAGCATTGTTTCCAGTATATACTTTCCCTTTTGGGAGCTCATACCTTTCAACTTAGTCAACTCATTAGAGTAGCATCAAAGCCAACATCAACTCCAAAAGGATAATGTTCTTAGCGTGTTCATGGAACCACATAGGTACCACTAACGATATCACTTAGGGTTGTGCCCGAAGGGCACCGCAATTTGCCCCATTTACCTCGGTCCCTTCAGTTGCAAATGGGCACTTGACGATAGACAGAGAATGAATGATGTGTCAATGATTTGGGACAGAGCACGAAAATCTCCTATTGTAAAAATCCCTCGGGGCTGAGTCTGAGCGTGCAATGTACTTCCCGACCTTAGAAAATATTTTAGTAGCTTTCGTGAAGCTGCCATAGACAGGATACAATCCATCGTGTCAAATGTAGCGCTTAATTCTGAACAAGTGGAATAGTTATATATTATGGAGTCCTCCGCAATCTTAGCTGTGGTTCTGTACCGATAAATTTTTAATGTTTTGATCTCCATAAGAGAGTTTCAAACTTGAGATCTTGTCTTGTTTTTTGTTTTGTTTTTTGTTGTTGTTTCATGATTCTCTATTGACTTGGACCACTACTATTGGAGGAGGACAAGAAAATCTGAGATCTCTAAACTTAATATTACGCAGAAGAAAAAGGACAGGGGAAAGGGGAGGAAAATTTCAATTTTTTTTATTTTCATTATTTGGAGATTAGCCTGTTGTCCCCACAATGGCACACATAGGCCTATTTGTTTTGCTTTTCAAGCTCGTGATTGTGGATGGTTGGTGGGTGCTCTGGTGTGGTTTACTCTTTTTTTCCTATCAAACATCTCTCGTCCTCATCTCCCTCCCCCCCCCCCCCCCTTTACTGTATCTGTTACATTCTGTCTAGTAATACCTCTTATCTTCGGCACATAACATAGAAAACTTAACGTGTGTTGTGAGTGTGGCAAAATGTTTACTACAAGTACAAAAAACAAAAACGTGCTGCTTTGGATCCAGTAGTCCTACCTTAGAGGCCATATTTTAGTATATTAGTGTCGACGGGAAATAATGCCAGAGTTTCTGTTTACTATATCCCAAAATGTAGGCGTGCCTTTGAGTCTTCTATATTTCTGTCCTCTCTTGTCTTTGAAGCCTTCTTTTAGGGAAGAGCCTTGCCCTCTCCAAGTTTCGAATATCTATAGGCACTCGCTCTTCTATTCACTCTCTGTTATTTTATCTATCTATCTATCTATCTATCTATCTATCTATCTATCTATCTATCTATCTATTCCTCAGATGCATGCTTACTTTACTTTACCTGCACATATGTGTCCGCCCCGGTCAATATCAGTCATATGAAGGAAACCTCAAAACTGACTTAACATTATTTCCAAAATCTACCACCTTTTTCCTACAATGTAAAACAAGAATGATGTAAATATGACCATATTTGACGAAAATACAGAATTTTTAATTGTGCGAGGTCAGGAAACACGAAAAGGAAAAAATGGCCTCCGAAGTTGAGCAACATGTTTCCATAGCAATGGGGGTCTTAGAATTGAGATAGAGACTTGAAATTTAGCATTTATCTTGGCTATGCCACCCCAAGGCATCATACAGAGGTAGAAAACTTCGTTCACAGAGAAAAACTTATGGACCAAACAGAATTTTCACGAGAATGGACTTCACGTCAAATGCAACAAAATATTAGCCTTACACTAGGTACCAGACACTAAACTTTCAAAGTAGCTGTATGTCAAATTCATCTGTTTCATATGAGAGGCCTGTGTCTCCTGAAAATGTTGGTACCATACTTCTAACTCTCAGTCAATGTTTAAGAGAATGGCAGCTGTTTTCAACCTAACATAATAATAAAATATTGCTAAAGTCGTTAACTGGCTGCAACCCCATGTTTGACATATAGTAAAAGAGTACGTAGAGCACAAAACATTTCTACATTAAAAGAGTACAATCACTATAACATAGAAATGAAGCCTGATATTTTTCAAGACTGTGAGATCATCACAAATCAATATCTTATTGGCTCAAACACGATGATCTGTCGTTATTTCAATAAAAACACCGAGCGTTGTCTCGGCAGGCGTCGCACCAGCCTTTGCGGCGAGCGAGGCAGCTCAATACTGTAGTATACTGGGTGCTCTTTCTTCCGCAGAAATAAAAAGGAGAACTGCAATGGCTAAGGCTAGTTTCAATAAAATGAGCCCAATCCTGAAAAATAGAAACATATCAATGAACACCAAAATGAAAGTCCTGAAATGCTATGTTTGGTCAACCCTTTTATATGACTGTGAATGCTGGACAATCACTAAAGACAGTGAAAATAAAATAGAGGCAACAGAAATGTGGTTTCTTAGGAGACTGCTAAGAGTATCGTGGAAGGAAAAGAAATCAAATGAGGTAGTGCTTGATGAAGCCCACGTGGGACGCTCAATGTTAAAAACAATCAGGAAACGACAAATGCAGTTTTTGGGACACCTGAATAGACATAAGGGTCTTGAACATCTAGCTCTCACTGGCAAAATTGAGGGCAAGCGAGGCAGGGGTAGGCCCAGAACAACATACTTAGGGAACCTAAATAAATGGGTAACAGGGAAAGATCAGGGAAACGTAGCTTTTCTGAGAGCATCCGAGCAAAGGAATGAATGGAAAATTATGATCGCCAGTGTCTGTCGCAGATCTGGCACTGAATGATATCTGATTGCTCCAGGTAGTTTCGCAGAAGGATTCATGCAAAATAATTTCAAGCCGATGACATTATTCTAATAGAAAGAGAACTGTTCTTTTTATTGGAACCCTTTTTAGCCGGTGTTAAAAATAATCTTGGAAAACTTAGACGCGTTTTTTTTCAAGGATTTCTATCTAAACGCCAAAGGCCAAAAATAATAACCACGGGAAACCACGCTCAAAGCTGTATAGTTCTCCGCCAATGAAAAGACGGTATTAAATTGTCAATCTTTCTGCAAACCATTCGAATGCATGGGTGTCAAGTTTGAACCGGGGGACCTCGCATCCGACCGCGAAGGGTTTCCCTTTCCACGGATATTCTCAAGCTCCAAATACATGTACCCGGATATACAAACAACTTACAGTATTATAACGAAGAAAATCTGAACTTTTTCAAAGCGTTCAGCATTTGGTGATTTATAGCAAAAGAGGATAGAAACAGATATCTGAATTACCCCCCATTTCACTGAAACCACGCGCTCCGAAGGCCGCGAGTCGGCTCACGTGCCGTGTATGCGCTACCTGATTAATCGTCGTTTGCAATAGCACCATAAACAAACGAGAGAACACACACAAATACACACACACACACACACACACACACACACACACACACACACACACACACACACACACACACGCGCGCGCGCGCGCGCGCGCGCGCGCAAACACATATACATACACATGCAAACACACCAACTCACATATGCACATTGACCGTTTCGGTGACCTCTTGGTAAGGAGTCCGCTCTGAGAGATCTAGAAGAAGGTTAATTAATCTTTTAAAAGCCCTAAAACACAATAAAAACGAATTTTTAAAGTCAATCCATGTGTAAAACTAAAAGATCATCAGACGATAGCAGCTAGCAGGCCACGCCCTCACAGTCAGCTGTTTACGTAAATTAGCTTGAAGTGAGCTAGAAGTTACCTTTTTTACTCCGTTTTACCAATCAGAGTTGTTTAGATTTCAGACCAGTCATGCTCGAAAAGGGGTCAAAATCAAAAATAGTTGCGGATGAAGAACGTTGGAGCTAAGATTTCCACTAGTGGAGAATCTTTGGTTGAAGCAAAGGTGGCCATGAATTAATGGCTCCAAAAATAATCTCATAGCTACACACTAGGAAGCTCCAAATTCCTTTACCTCGTCACCCAAGCCCACAACAAACCACACCCACACCTCCGAAATAAATCAAAATAAAATATTTATAGTTGATTATAGTTGGGTTCTTTTTATCTTAAATGAAGCAGAAGACATCAAACTTCCAATATATCCAATACACAAACATTTCATGAAAAGTCACATTTTTGCCTTTCGAGCTTTGTAGCTGATAATAGTGCAGTGCGTCTTACGACTGATATTGAGCGGGGCAGACAGATATGCACATACGGCAGTTTTATTCTTGAGTTATCTGTTCTTCGGCACGTTAAAGAAACCGGGATAAGCCCCAACTCATTGGATCTCTCTGACGATTGCAGACGGTCTTTTATTCTATTACTCTTTTATCCCTGAACAGAAATCGTTCCTTTTGAAGGCCGCTTCACGCTCCAAGACTGCGACTTCGATTCAAGCAATTGCCTGTGGTATAACGTACGTGCCGGGCATGAAGCCAATTCCTGGACGCATCCCACTGGGCATGATGAGGAGCACAAGGGTGCCTTCCGGTGGCGCTCGTCAAGAGTGACATCAGGGAAGTCAAACCGACTAGTACAGATGTCTACGCCTCCCGGTTTTCAAACGACGGGAAGTATAAAGAAGAGTCGCGGATCAGATTCCCATTATACAGGTTAGATCAACTTTGCTGAGTGTTAGTGCTCTGTTGAAGTTGTTGTGTCCTCCAGTCAATAGATGTGTAAAAATATGATCTTCAATTGTCTTCGTTATTTCGATTCTTTTTTTTTTTTTTACAGCTGAGTTTTTCTCAATGGAGAAAACTGATATCACGATTCTTCTCGTACCGTGAAAAGAAAGCTTTCAAATTCGATAAAATCGAAATGTGTACGTACACTTTTAAGGGTCTATGCATACCTCTCTGTACGGGGATCCCTGTATCCCTGTGACCGAGTGGATAGTAAGTTCAGGCTCACAATACTGCTAAGCATGTTGATAACACGACGGTCGAACGGGGGATTTCGGGATGGTTTCTTGAGCGAGACCGTATGACCATACCTTTTTATTTTTAAGGAACGGTACACAGGGGCGACCAATCATTGCTACTTTGTTAGTTGTCTTTTTGCTGCTATATTTTATGTAGGTGTTTTATGTTCCCTTCAACATGATTTAGATCATTTTGGGGTCGGGCTTTGACCTTGCCAGTCAGGGGCTGAGAGGGATACAACGTACCAGAAGAAAGACCTTCTGGGTGTAGTGACGAAGTGCAGAATACTACACCACAGACACCGATTGGGAATGTGAGTGTTCGGTAACTTGATTATTTATTGTATTTATGAACTGTACTTACAGTTGCAACCCATTATTTCCCTACTAAACAAGGTCAGTAAAGGCAGTGTTTCTCTTGAATCTCTATTTGTAGGTCCCTATGTGTATGTCACCATGCCACCAAAAAATGCTGGGAGTGTTGCCGTACTTCGCAGTGTCTCTTTACAGCCTCGCTTTTCTTCTGGAGGGCTCTGCCAGGTAAGTAAAAATTAGATATGTGACGAGGATATTGTAAGTGTTTTTACACCCCTATCGACACATTTTAGATCATTTAGGAGGCCGGCTTCAAACCCTGCCTATTGGAGCCATCCGGGACCGAGGAAGGACACAGCATCCCTGCAGAAAGACCGAGATAATCAATAAAAAAAATCGCCCCATTCAGTAATCGAACTCGGATCTCATGCGCGTGATAGCGAAACGCCTAACCAAACACCACAAAAGAGAAATAATAAAATATATGTGCCGTCATGCGAAAAACAATGTGAGGCGAGCTGACAAAATGAGTTACTTCTCGCAATCCACAAATGGAGATGTTGGCAAAAACTCAACACCAAGGTCAAATTAGTAGACCCTCTATTGATGCTCTTCTTTTTTTTATGTATAACTTGCCTCTTATTATTTCATTCTTATAAATTCTAAAACTTCACTTATGAGCATAATGTTTCTATTTCCAAAGGCTTGAATCCGAGAAGTAACTCATTTTGTCAGCACACTTCACTAATGATTTCACCAAAAACAAATTCTGAATTAAAAGCTTTTTGCTCAAACAGCACTTGTTTACAGATAATTAAAGCATATTTGTGAAAATAATAATATTATTGTTAATATTTATTTCTGGGATGAATTAAAAAACACAATAAATCTAAGAAAGACAAAACTGCAAAAAATGACGTCAGAGGATTGTTTTGTTTTATGGAAGTGTCTACGTACTCCCTGATTGGGGTCTACGTAGTCATGGTGTCTAGGTGAACCCCAAAAATGTTGGATTGTGATTGGCTCGCTGAGCGAGCGGTAGTTTACATTGGTTATAATGCAAGGCTGCTAGGCCTACTTACTTATCATCTCGGGTAGTGATTGGATTTATCTTGTGTTACTATAATTATTTTAGCCTAGAGAGAGAGAGAGAGAGAGAGAGAGAGAGAGAGAGAGAGAGAGAGAGAAAGAGTATTTAATGAATAAACGTATTTAGATCTAGATCTACATTTTGTTGTGCACCCAGCCAAGAGTGTGCAGTTCGGTCTAGATTTAGATTCTAGATCTAGATCTAGAATCTAGACTAGATCTAGATCTAGATGTCTAGATCTAGATCTAGATCTAGTGGTGGCCTGGTGGGCGAATGACCGAAGAGCGACTCTTGACTACTTGACTGTGGCGGAGACACACTGGGCCTATCACTTGCAACTTGATTCATACATGGGGACTGGATCTAGTCGAGTTCAGGGGGCGGCCATTTCGGAAAATGCTAACGAAAGGCTCATGCTCTTTTACAATGTGGAAATTCCTCAATCTCAAACATAATTTTCACAAGTAAAATTATTATTTTTAAATCTTGGTTATTTATCTAGCCAAGAATAAGCTATATTGTTAAAGTATTTGTATATAGTATAAAGAATAATATAAACGAAACCTCATCACATTGTGTTTGTTAACACAGGCGCCTATACTAACTTATACAGCTGCCGAGGCCTACATTTAAAAAATTTGAATTTCATTGGGAAATCAAAATAGAACAAAGCGATGCACATTTAGAATGCATGTCACAGGAAAGGCTAACTGGGGTAAGCTGTTAAATCCATGGATTCTGGAATGCCTTAGGTTATAATTATTATTAGTACATCAAAGAATGAACAACAGTAAAATGAACAATAATACTTAGACTCTATGACTATGATTATGAGACCCCTTCAATAAAGTAGACCTAATATTAATTAGAGAAAAGCATAAAATTGACAGGAAGAAAAACTGAACCATTTCTTTTCTTAATGGTCACTAGATCTTTAATTTATAACTTCGTTGTCAAGTGAATGTGATGCCTGTGTGTCTGTTGTTGATGTTATAGTTCTATGCCACTCATAATATTGTGTTGATTAAATTATCACATTATTCTTCACAAATAGTATTATTCTATAACTTGAAAGATGCTGTTTTTGCAGCTTTTGTAGCTCATGTTCTGAGCCACAATTAAGTTGCTACTGGGATGGCATTTCTTTGTCAAGTAGATCTAAATGTGGTTCTGCCTGAGCACATATGGCCACATTCCTTTTCTTGGCAGGTTTGACAGTTTCTTCAATGCTTTACTACAAATACAAACAAGTCATCTGCAATTTACGAGCATTGTATCAAACTCAAACCAACTTCATCCCACATTCAAATACAAATAATTCAAGCCCTTTTGATTCTGGTAAAGGAAACTGAAAGGGTGTTGTTTAGCAACATGCTAAACCAGGACTGTGTTGAAAACCTTTTCATAGCCATTAAAGAAAAAAGCAGCCATGTACATCCGTGGTCAGTGGGTAATAATAAATAGCATTTGTATAACGCATATCCCCGCTCAACAGCAGGCTCTATGCGCTGTACACTATATTATTACCCCAGCAGACCATATAACACTCCGAAACATTCTCAGCTTCCCGGGAAGCATACAGTGCAAGCAGCTGATTAAGCGCTCAAACACTAACAAACTGACGAGATCTTTCGCTGTCTATAGCCGGGTACCCATTCCCACCTGGGTGAAGTGAGGAAAATCCGTGTAAAGTGCCTTTCCCAAGGACACAACGTCAGGCCCTTGACGGGATTCGAACTCACGACCTTACGGTTGCGAGTCCGAGAGGGTACTTGCTTAGGAAAGTATCTCCAGTCATATATGTGACAAATGTAAGAACCAAAGAAATACAATAATGGATATAAAGTAGATGGACGTAAAAACATGGGTTGTACTCTTTTATTACCAATCTGGGTTAAAAGACAGGCCTGTTAAACTTTTAAAAAGGTAAAGGACTGTGAAGCTCAGGTTGTTTTTGTTTTTGTTTTTGTTTTTTGTTTTTTTGGTTGGGGGGGTCGGGGGGTTCGGGTCAAAATCTAGTTAACAACTGCTCTTCAGCGACCTTCTGTTAGGGAAGATCAAAAGAACACAAACACACCACTTTGGTTTCTAATCTTTGAGTCGTGTTGCAAATTCCTTCGCCGTAATCTATTACCGTTACCGTCCCCACCCATCAATTAAACTTAAAACTGGGGGCTCTCGTGGCCTAGAGGTTAAGGTGTTGGCCTCTCATTCAAAGGTCCCGGGTTCGAATCCGGGTAGCGACCGAAAATTTTTCTTCTCTAAAATTGTCTCCTTTCGCCTCCTTTCCTGCTC